GTTAGAACACATGTGCAAATTTAGATGTTAGAAATATGATGAAAATAGAACAACCTGAACCGCCGTCAGTGGCAAAAAACAATGCAACTTTCAAAGCGGCAGAAGTTTCTGCCACTTTCAACTTTGGGGGACCCGGGGCCATGTTCCAAAACGAAACTGCCACTTTCAAATCCAACGCTGCCTGCCACTTTTCCATCAAACAGAGCTCAATCTATGTTTCAACATGTTCAAGTCAACATTGCTCATGAACTTGCATGCATGTTCTTGAAGTTATTATATGATATATCATGACCATGAGTCCATGAAACATGCACATGATAACAAGAAATTGCATGTTGCATGCCGGAAGAGGAGGAGAAGGAGTCCTGCCCGGCCCCACCACAATTCCTGATGAGGACGAGGATTACCGCCAGAAGCTGGAAGCAGTCGTGAATTAGCCGAGATGAAGCGATGAGTCCGGGCTTCATGCAGCCTTTAGATGGGGCGCGGCGAATCACTCACCGGCCAAAGTGGATGCCTATGAGGTGTTGACGCCTTCGCCAAAGAACTCCGATGCTGCTTCTGGATTTGCTGCGCCACCTTCTATGCCTCCATCAACTGAGCTGCCTGCACCTCCGGAAGCCATGCCAGCACCACCGGCTGAGGTTCCAAAAGATGACAACAAGAAGATGTCTTCAGCGGAGGCCTTGAAGGAGGCAGCAGAAGCATAGAAAAAGGAAGTCGCCAAGATTGACTAAGCTCCGTCGGATTTGCCAAGTCAAGGACAGTGGCAAATGCAATGTGCCCCAGCAGATTTATGAGGAGTTCCTTGCTGGTGGCACGCAAAGGGTGGAGCTGAGGAAGCTTTTCGTGAGCTGCAAGCTGGACAAGGACTACATGTGGATGAGCATAGTTCCATAATCAATGATATATTCAACAATATTCTAATTGGCACGCATGGTTGTAATATTCTTGTATATGCGATCATAAGTGGGCATGCGTGATCGCGCATGAGTTTCTCACGCCACCCCACGCCGCGCCATACCATACTATGCCATACTGCCACGCCATACTAGTTCCAGACTGCAAACTTCTACACGGAAGAACAGATGAAGAAGCCACCTCTGAACTTTCCCCAGCAACCATGGCTTAGACGCATCCTCATCCAATGTCAACCTGACTCCCTCCACGCTTGATGGATCCGGTCCTGCGCCACCACCAGTGGATGAACCTGCAGGCGATGCCGCGGGGCAGCTGCAATTTGGACAGGACAGTGGCCAAAAAAGGGGCTAGCTTGACGCTCATCTTGCAGGATCCATCTGTTGTCCCTTCTGCGTTGGCAACATTGCTGAAGATCCAGTCCCGCCTGCAGCACCTGGTCCATGAAAAGCTCATCAAGAAGTCGGATCAGCCTCGTGAGAAGCGAGAGTCGACAAACTTTATGTGGCAGAGCTGCAGCGATTTTTGAAAACTTCATCTCCCAGCGCACGACGCAGCATGATTTGATTGCAGACGCCAAGTCTAACTGCGATGAGGGTCCGAGTGAGCATCTTGCATTCAATTTCGCTCATGTGCATAGCACGTGTTTCGTACATACTTCTTCGGGCTCCGCTATGATAAGGAAACACATCACATCGAGGACCTCAAGAAAAAGCTGAGCAGTGTTCAGAAGGTGTACCTTTGTCTGCAAGATTCCTAGCAGCCAATGCTTGGGCCACTGTCATTGGATCGCTGGCAGGGTCAGCCGAGCCACGATGGAAGAAACGAAGCTGAAGAAGCTGTGGCCTCAGCTGTACAGCATTGGAGCTCATATTCTTTCATGTCGTGTAGCATATGTCATAAAAGTCATGTGAATATATCGTGACTTTGAAATAACATTGCACGTGCGCGAGAAAAACATGCACAATCGTGCAATCATATTGAACCATGCATCACAATATGTCATAGAACCAGTGCAGGTATGCCAATGTCAACCGCGGACAAGTTGAGGGCAGATTTAGATATATCCCACGTTGACATAGGAGCAGCTTGGATGCGTGGAGCATACATGCCATGGTCCAACACAAAAGAGTTGATGCATGCAGGCATGTTTTCAATGTGTTAAATTTACCATGGGTATACCATGCCATACAAGGATGGTTTGCAGCACCCGGTGATTCTTCCAAGCGCGTATTTGTGGACATTGGCTGGCAGCGAGAAGTTGGCAAATCTCTTTGCGCACCCTTCTTTGCTCCAAGCTTTCTGCCGCAACTTTCTAGACTCATGGCTGCATGTGGATAGTAACGTCGTCTCTTGTAAGTTTCTGTGGGCTTTGAGACGCAAGCGTGATGGCGCGCGCGCGCGCGTCAAGGAGTCCCCGATGAACCAAGAGCACCTCCCTACCAAGATGGATGCTTCTCAGCTTGCGTAGTCTATCCCCATCTATGTGTTTGGGGGTGAGGGCACAGCGCTGCGCAAAACCAGTGCCATGGTTCTGGGTTGGGAGCCTGTTTGGGGCAAAGGCGCCCAACTGAATGAAGAGACTGATGCATTGCGACAACTGCTGAACTTTGTGGGCTCCACGTCAAAGACGCGTTTGCTTTACGCGTGCGTGCACAGTATGCAAGCCCTGATGGAAGCCTGAGCGCAGCAGGCTTGGAAAGTCTTCAGCAAAATGGACTGACAGTGCGGGTCGGTCTTGATATCCTTGGGCTGCAAGGGTGATCTGCCGGCCTTGAGAAAGTTGGGCATGCTCAGTCGGCGCTTCCTGAGGGAGACAGTCTGCATGGCCCTGGCCTGTGCCATTTGTGTATGGCAAATACCTTTTACACACATGGGAATGGATTGAGACGCTTGGCGAAGATGTTTATGAGCAGCCCTACAGTGCTGGTGAAGAGTCTGCTATGACTCGTGATGTCCATGAGAAGCTTGAGAAAGGCCGCTAGCCTTTGCAAGAAATTCTCAGCCTCGTCTTCATCTACACATGACTTCGCTCACAAGAGCCTTGCTGGGATATGCTGATTCATCATGCTACCCATGTGGGTTCCTTTGCTGCATTTCATGCTTATCTTACTCATGTTTGTGAGTTGCATGAGCGCACGCATGCTTTCCTTAAGTTTGCTTCTCCAAAGAATTGGTTCAAACGCGCGGACACAACTATTGTCCTGAAGTGGTTGCGCTCGAAATTCATGGCCGTGCGTTTGCAACATCCAGGCAATGAATATTTGTCCGAGATTTGCAAGTGCCTGCAATTGTCGAATGAGTTCTTCAGCCTGCTCGAGTTGTGGCTGTCAAAGAGGGCCCGTCGGACTGCATGGGCCCTTGGTAAGGACATGTTGGATACCTACAAAGGCTGCGCAGCACATGCTCACCGGCATGGCGTGCCCAGGTTCAAGCTGACGCCCAAATTGTACTTCGCTATGCACATAGTCATGAGCTTGCACGGGTCGCCATGTCTCAATATATTGGCGCATTCATGTCAACAGAACGAGGACTTGATCAACGAGGGTGCCATGATTTGCAGGAAAGTTTCACAACAGAACTTGCACATGAATGTGTTACTCCAATACTTGGTGTCGGTCATCCGGCATTGGTGAAAAGGTGCGCATCTTGTGCGGGTAAGGGGCATGGAGATTACAATATATATATATACGCAACTTTTTACACCATGAAAAACATGACATGCAACTTTCAAATATCATACATAAAACCTCATGAGAAGAACAACTTGCAGTTGAATAAACTATTGCAACTTTTGAAAGTTGCACTGTGCTTTTGCAACTTGTGGGCTCAGGAAATATGAAACAAACAACAAGTAAACGAATTGGTATGTGTTTGTTCTTCCCACTTGGATGCTAGTTATTTCATATGTTGTTTCTATTTGTTATGTTGATCACACCCAGTAGAAGCTTAACTTCCTCAACACGGGAATGACTCGAACAAAAAAGTGACTCCAGACCCTGGACCTGTTCAAACAGCATCTCCCAGGCTCCGAACAGCATCTCCCAGACCTGCCTCATCGCGGCCTGCGCCACTGCCTGGCGCTCCGCGCTCGCGGCGCTCGCGACGACGGTGTCGTCCTCGCTGTCCGCGCACTCGGCGGCGGCGGTGGCCGCGCGGCGCTCCGGAAGGCGTGGGTCTGATTGTTTGGTCCGGTGAGGGGATGGCCTTCCGTGCCGGTGCATGTCTCACTGATGAGCTATGCAGCATGCAAATATATACATATATATTTAGTGTATATCCATGCAGTCTATAGTTTTTGAACAACTCATTGTTTGTCCGGGTTTTTTCGCATTTTCACACTTTCGGAAAGGCTAGTCAATGCAGAGTCTGGCCTTCGTTTTATATACATATACATGGATGCACACCCACAGGATCCATGTAAGCAAATATCGCCTACATTTGGTGGTATTTGGTGGTGAATGTATAGGTCATATTGCTTACATATGGATAGTTATTTGTGATACGCCCAAGAAAACATGAACATTTCAGAAAAAAACAAGGTTTTCCAAAAGGTGTGTTACGGATCTGACGGCACAACACCTGAATTTTGGACACGTGTCACCAAAATGTCGAGCTCACCAAGAGCACTTTTCACCCAGATCAACATGCAGCTGTGAGCCTAAGAGCTGCATTTGGTCGGCATGGATGCAAAAAAAAAGTTTTTGAGTACGGGTTAGTAGGGGTTAGCACGGGTTCTGTACGGGTTAAATACGGGTTCTCAAAACATTATTGTTGTCGCAGAAGATGGGCAATACGGGTTCCGTGAATTCCTGTGTCTAATTATGTTTTCGGTTAAGTCACCCTCCAAATTCCACAAAAGATATATTTAGATGACCAAAACAGATGGACACATCGGAAGAATGGTCCACATTTGGTGACTTGTGGATCCATTAAGATCCCACCGCACGCACCTGAAAGCAAGACCCGGGAAACTGGTGTTTGTTTGTGGTAGCCAGGGCTGCTCTTCAGTGGTTTTACCGACAAGACATGTTTTATTTTGAGAAAAAACTTAATGTTTTCAATTGTTTTCGATCTCCTCCCTTGAAAGAACCACGTTTCATCCAGGAGCCTACAAATTGGTTGTGTATGTCAGTATGTTAGTGTTTTGCTTCTCTATAGGTATAATATATGTATATAATATATCCCTCACACATCCCGCCCACGTGTTGCGGTGTCAGGTGGATGGTGTCGTTGTCGCTCCTCACAGAGCTGAAGGGACGACATATTGAAGGAGACACAGCTGCTTTCAACGAGGAGGCACGACGGAACGATCGATCCGGCGGAAGCGAAGAAGGTCACGAGGCCGGTCGCCATGTGGTTCGCCTCCCTGTAGGGACAGTGGGACAGCTGTGTGAAGGCTCCCCAGTCCCATGCTCCACCACAAAGCTATAGCAACCCTGGATGTAAGATGATATATTATATATATATATATATATTAGCAAGACATGCCGACTGGTGCGACTCCTAGGGAATGGAACCAGCTTCATTCCTTCCGAGACGCACCTAGTTAGCACGCGACTCACGTCAGTGCTCGATACCGGAGTCAGAGAGGCCGAAGGGTTCGTGAGGCTAATGCCTCAGAGAGAACCCTCGAAACCTCGGAAACCCCCAATTGCCTCAACAAAACTTTGCATGACAGTGCCAATGAACCTTCGAATCACGACTCTGGTGGACGAAGTAACAAGACTGCGGCGGACTCTGGGCAGGACCTCATGGGCCATGGGGTTCATGAATTGGACCCAAGGCGGGCCCGGCACAGTTTAATTTTTGAGGGAAGAGAACGGGTTTCCCTTGGTGGCCTGTGGTGCGCAACACTCACGCTCCGCCAGAAATCCACACGCCGGGGACCCAACAAACCTACCGATTCAGTTCGCCGGCGCTCGTGTGACGCAGGTGAATGCCCAGAGCGCTTCGTGGTCCACGGCTCTGTCGCGCTTTCATGCAACGGGCGCACGAGACTGGGGACTCCCTGCAAGGTGAGACTACTTTGAGACTGGGATGCCGGAGAGACCAGATGGCACGGGTGGAGAAATTTTGGGAGAGCTCGCCCATGACTTCTGACAGAACTTCTACATTGAACATTATTGAACTATACTGTATGTGCCTTACCCGGGTGACATCTTTCGCGAAGAAGAGAACACAGATCACAGAATTCCGGCGATTTGTCCATGCCCAAGTCCCTAAGTCATCCGCCAACCGGGTGGTTGGACCGTCCAGGCGTCCGGTGGAGCGAGTCTTGTCGACCGTCACCCGTCTGGAACTCCCAACCGTCCCGTCGCGTGTCTTGTTTCAACGAAATTCTGCTCACAGAGCAATTGATGGGTATCATCCCTTCTTCTTCATCCGTTCAACTTCAGGGCTGTCGTCACTTCCCAACCCTCTCAGCGGGGCTCCGGAGGGATTCAGTCACTGTGACGGTGCTGCTCTCCGCCCTCCTGAAGACCTTGCAATGGCCCATCGCTATGGTGGGGTCGACATGGCAGGGAGTTCCGGGCGGATGGTTCCATCGCGCATCATCCAGCTGGTTGGGGTGTTCCTGTTTTGTATAAAAGTTCTTGTTTTACCACTACTAATGAGGGGAACAAGTTGTCCAATCTCTCCACCAAAGTGGTCTCGAGTCAAAACAGTAGCCCCAATGTCCTCGGTTTCCCTCAAACAAGAATGAGTGTAGTTCTTTGAGCCACAAAACTGAACTCCAACCTCTATGGACAAAGAGACTACATCTTCCCCAACAAACATCCGGTTGAGGAGGCCTTGGAATACGATATTATTTCTATAGGTGGGGCTATTGTGTGTTTTGCGATGGCCATAGCAGTGTTTGGCGTGCATGTCGTCCAAAACCTCATGTGTGGCTCCCGAGTGTAGCCATACCTTGAACTTGTTTTAATTTGAAAAGAGTGGATTGCTAGGAGCGGCCTTCCTTAATGTGTCACTCCTTGTTCAACTCTTGCTGCAGAAGTGAGTCCAGGCATTTGCAGAATGGGAAGCATATTCGCAATTCCGTCACAAATCCGTTCACCACTTCGTTCCCTATTAGAAGCATCAGGAACTGCGGCTGTGATACTCGTTCACAGCCCCAGCAACACATGGGTCCCAAGTAGCTGTGACACCGAGCGAGAGAGCCCTCCGAGCTCCCATGGTCTCCACCGGTGTTCTGTTTGACACGGCGCGACGAACTACCACCCAGCGAACACTGCCAGTCAGTTCCTTAAGGTTCGAAACACATTGAGCATGCATCGACTTCCCCAAATGGCCGGTGTTCAGCCTGTCTGACACCTTGGTACCCAACGGGTTGTTTCTGTCGCCCGAATGCTGGCGCCCAATTGGATTCGGCAGCCAGGTGCTGTTGGAGGAGTCCGCGGCGACGGGGTTGGCCCAGGATTCGGTGGACGACTTTGCTGCTGAGTCGGAGAGATTGTTCATCTGGAGGAGGAAGATGAAGGGAAAGGAAAGTTGGGCAAAAGAAGGAAAGAGATTGCAGCTGGAATTCGTATTCCTTTATAAAGAGGCGAACCCACTTCTTCGGGCGAATGAGACAAAGCTTTGGTGGGCTGAGTATGGTTGAGTGGGCGAAAGACACCGCCACTTTGGGTTGGCCTGGGGGTGATGGTCGATGTATAGTAAACAGTAGATGGTTTCAATTTCAATATATGCAATGTGTCAATGAAGATTGGAGGGAGAAGCCCACCACTGGAGGGTTAGTTTAATTCGTTTGTACATGTTTCTACCTCGAAGGTGACTCACTTCATCTCACATCAAACACACGTGATCGCCCAATGCGGGCTTCGCCCCCTTCGCGGCTTGAAAGAGGACCGTGCTTTTTCGGTCGCGGATGGTGTGGCGCGGTCGGAAACCGTGCGGTGTGGGTTGGTGGACAGGACGGCGGTCTGGATAGAGTCCCCTGGACTGAGGCGTTTCTGAAAGCTGCAGTGGCTGCGGGCGAGGATCATGTGGTCAAGAAGCTGTTGGTCAGGCCAGAAAGCATCTGAGCTGGTGGGGACAGGAGGTTGATCAAGCAGGCTGTTGCAAAAACTTCCCATTTGCCTCTTGCTATTCTAGGGAGAAGGTGTCTTTGGGGATGGAGGATCTGGATGTTATTATATATATATATAGAGTTATATAGCTGGATTGATGGAGAGAGTGTTACACTGCAAAAGCTTCGGCCTGGAAACCCTTTAGAGGCCCAAGTCAATCCTAGATCGCAGGCCTATCGTTCGATCCTTGTCAGAGAAGAGTTGTTGTTTTAAAAATTGTTTTGAGAAGATGCAAGAGCTTCACCAAAAAACATAACAAAAACATAAACTTGTGTCTGCAAGACCCCTTTGTTCTAGAAGTTTTGCATCTTGAAAAAAAAGCAAAACAAAAGCAACAAAAAAGCAATCACAAAATGCAACCAGAAAAACAAAAGCAAGCACAAAAGCAAAAAAAGCAACCCCAAAATGCAACCAGAAAAAACAAAAGCAATCACAAAAGCAAAAAAAAAGCAACCCCAAAATGCAACCAGAAAACAAAGCAATCATAAAAGCAAAAAAACAAAGAAAAAAGCAACCCCAAAATGCAAATGTTTTACTACTACCACTACTACCACTACCACTACTGCTACTGCTACTGCTACTGCCTCCCCTACTACTACTACTGCTACTACTGCTACTACCACTACTACGACTACTACTACCACTACCACTACCACTACCACTACCACTACCACACCACCACTACTACTCCTCTACTACTTACTACCCCCAGCACTAGTCTAGCAAGGGCCTCTGCAGATTGACTGCAGATTCGGAATTCAACGCGTTGGAACCGAGCCTGGCGAGGGGGCTGGGTAGGGGTAGGGCTAGTGCCTGGGTGAGGACTTCCGGTCTTTTGGTCGCATTTTTTCGGCGCCGGGTCAGAAGTCGCACTTTTGGTCCCTTTTTTTTTCGGCGCCGGGCCAGCAGTCGCACTTTTGGTCGCTTTTTTTTTCGGCGCCGGGCCAGAAGTCGCACTTTTGGTCCCTTTTTTTTGCTCTTTTTTTGCTCTTTTTAGTGGTGCCGTGAAAAAAGTCGCACTTTTGGTCGCTTTTTTTTCACTTTTTTTTCGCTCTTTTTTCGCTTTTTTTTCGTTTTTTTTTTTTTTTTTAGAAAAAGAGAAAAAAACGAAAAAAGAGCGAAAAAAGAGCGAACAAAAAGCGACCAAAAGTGCGACTTTTTTCCCGGCGCCGCCAAAAAATACAAAAAAAAAGCAACCAAAAGTGCGCCAGAAAGTGGGCCCTCCCCAAAAAGTGCGCCGGAAAGTGGACCCTCCCCCAAAAGTGCACCAGAAAGGGCGCCAGAAAGTGGACCCTCCCCCAAAAGTGCACCAGAAAGGGCGCCAGTAAGTGGACCCTTCCCAAAAGCGCGCCAGAAAGTGCGCTAGAAAGCCCGGCTGAGTGCAGAAACCTCAGGGACCGTGTAGATGTCAGACGCCCCAGATCTTTTTTGGACGGGTGTAGAGTGTAGAGTCCACCCAGTCGCTCACAGCTACTGCGCAAGGTGAGAAACCATCCAATGACTCCAATCATATTTTTGGAACCATTGGAACTCCAATCTAATCATATCATATCTGGATCCACCCACCAACCTCTTTGCGCTATTATACTATATATTGTATCGTTTAGGATGTCTAACTGGCCCCAACGTCGCCAATTACAGATTTTTATTTTTGTTTAGTCGCTCTTTGTTTTGCTTGTTTTTCTTGTTGCACTTTTGGTTGTTTTTTTTGCTTTCTTGGTTGCTTTTTGTTTTGCTTGTGCTTTTTTGGCTGCACTTTTGGTTGCTTTTTTTTGCTTTCTTGGTTGCTCTTTGTTTTGCTGGTGCTTTTTTAGTTTGCTTCTTTTTTGCTTTTCTTTTGCTTTTTTTCAAGTTCTAGGTTTTCTAGAATAAAGCCACCTCCGGTGGACACAAACATAAACATGCTCTTAAGACTCAGAAAGGATGATGTTGTGTCTTCTTTGACACCTCAAATTTCTAGCAACAAGGGCATCGCTGCTAATAACAAGGGCATTACTAGTAGCTAGAAGATGCAGGGCATCGCTACTAGCAGCAGAAACCTCGCACACGGGCGCCTTCGTCTTCACCGCTGCACCAACCAGGATCCCTGGCTCTGTGACCAGCTGGGTGTCCGAGGCACCGAGCGGGGATTGAGGGGGGGGTCTCCTTTGGTCTCGGTTTGGTTTGAGGAGGGGTGACGCAATGGCAGAGGTCGTAATGGCACGTAATGGCAGAGGTGATTTTTTGACACGATTTTATTTGGAGGACCTTGGAGCTTCTCCCTCCTGCTGATGGCCATTTACTTGGGGTGGCGGCGGGGTGGTTTGGCTGCTCGAAAGCATCAGCCTCAGCTCAAGAAAAAGTCAAAAGTCCACATCGGTGGGCAGTAGGATGTGTGACGTGCTATCTTTGTTGCGGGCTTCCCTGCTAAAGATAATTCGATGAGATGAAATAGGGCTGCTAGATGAGGTTTTAATCTTAGGGAGCTGAAGATCGGGTGGCACGTATTGTAGCATGTACTGAAATTGCTAGAACACCCTCTACAGACTGCTCCGCGTGACGCTCAAGAATTCAGTTCTTTGCATGCATGTTCTTCTATAAATCCAGGATCGACCTCAAAGAGACCTTCATTGCTGTATAAGTATACATGCCTGCAGTGCCCAGGCAATGACGTGCATTTCCTTCTCCAAAACTCGACTGTTTGTTCCGGCTGGTCCAATGACAGGCAGAAAGAATAATTCTCATCCGGGCTCCAGTTGTAATTACCTCTGAAGGTAGGAGCCCTCGATATCCATCGAGGTCTCACCACCCTAGCCCACACGTCACACCGCCCTAGGCCACAAGCATCTCATCGGCCTGGTCATTCTTCCAAGCTGCCAACACCGCCGCGGCCAGGAATATGGGCTATTCTGGGGTGGTCAGGTCAAGAATGTCAGTCCTGTTGGCCTCCAAGCCCCTCCAAATGTGGAAGAATCAAACCTAGTAGGGAGTTCATGTCTGGGAAAACAAACAGCTCGTCCATGAAAATACCCAATGGATCCCAATGGAGGATAGGGGCCCAAGAACCTGCAACTTTAGAACGTAAAACACTCCTTTTGAAGCTTCTTCTCTCAACACTCCATGTTCCGCAGGTCCTTCTTTCATCAAGAGGGCCATGTGAGGGTGTTTGATTCTATGTTTGTAATTTATGTATATACTGTATATTTTATATGTCATATAATAGTATATATTATATACTGATTGTATAGATTGCAAACTGTTGAATTGATGAATCAACGAAAATCGCACGCAAGTTGCAATTGGCACACATCCATGTTCATCCTATAGTGTTGTCAGTTGTCTTGGGATACCATGGGCAAATGTACGCTTTGTGGGCTGAAGTGAATCGACATCCAGGGATACTTGAGTAATCTTGAATATACTTAATGGCTGGTCGCATGCCCCTTAAGGAACATTGTGAAGAATGCTTCCTCCGCCAGCATTGGTTTCAGTGGGCCAATCAAACACAGGGTGAGACTAGTGCCAAGAATCTTCACTGATGGACTACGGATGTCATCAAGCTTCCACCTTCACTTCGGCCACGAAAGCGACGACCCCTTCCCCGCCCCGCCCCGCGGCTTCCGTCCCGTCGCTTCCGGCCTTTTCCGTCCTCGGCGGCGAGGCTGGAAGTTTGCTGCTCTCTCGCTGGCCTAGGCCTCCGAGAGCCTGGTGGAACCGGGGAACCCACGGGCAAACCAAGCAGCCGGTTTTGGAGAATAGCTGGTGAGCGACTGCAAGGGGAGTTGAATCCATAGACGGTGAAGACGTGTGGCTCTGGTAGGTTTCGGTCATGTCCTCCATCGAAAACACGGTGACGTTCCACCCGAAACCCACAAAATGTCCGGGGCGCCACGTTCACCTCAGATTTCTATAGCTCCAGTGAGTTCAGTGAGTACTTTCGCCACGTTCGCACCACGGCGGTTCACAGGTTGGACGTGACTTCTCTTCTGCTTCGCACCACTGGCAGCCCGTCCGAAACCTGAAACCGCCCTTCCACGGCCGAAACCGCTGACCAAACTCCCTTGGCCGACGCCCTTCAGATGGCCCCTGGCCTCCGCGGTGCTTCATGAGCTGCGTGGCCAGGGTGCGGAAGTGGCGCGGGGACCCGGCTGCCGGGGCGGGGGCAGTGGGTCCGGGGGTGGAAGTAAGTGAAGGTTCTTTTGGACCGCTTCAAAGAGCAGAAGGTTTAGCCTTATTCCCAAAACATGATGATCTATATATAGATGATTCCGTGTTTTTCGTCACCAAGGGAGTAGGTCTTGATCGGCATGGACTAAACCCATATAGGAGGGTCTTAGTTCCTTTTCGGAATCGGGGGTCGGGGGTCATGTTCAAAGGGATCGAGTTCCTTCGACTTGTGGGTTCCAATTATTGAATAACCATGAATAGCCCAAGACATTATTGCATAATGGTCACAATAGAATCACAACCACTCCAAGATAGTTGTTTGTGGTTGTTCCCAAGATAGAGGCAAGCCATGGCTATCGATGGCTTATGTGCTGAGAGCGCAGATTGCAGAAGTGTGAGCTGGGGGATTGGAATGAACACGAAGCCCGTGTGAAAATTCAGTGACGTAAAGCTTAAGGGACGGACGGATATCCATTTCTTCAAGGACTTGCCGACCAAATGGAGGCACGTTCTAGAATGTAGACTATTGATGAATAATATTTAAATAAAACAATGAAAACGCATATAAACGAAGGATGTTTTACAATCCAAATAAGGGGGGGTGCGCGCGCCCGTCCAGACGGTCCGCAAGTCCGTGCATCCAAATAAGGGGGTTCTTAATCAACAGTGTCAGTCCACATTAGGGCAGCTGATGCTTTCACCATTTCTCGCCCATCCAGTTCCACGCAGAGCCCCCCAGGATGCCGTCCTGGCCGCTGACCTCGTGCGATGCAGCCACTCCTCTTCGCGCCTTAGCACCGAGGATGTTTGGAAGAAACATGGTCAATGTATATAGCGTGTCCTCTTCAGCATGTAGTACCACCAAGCCGAAACCAAAGGCAGGGAAGGGTCCCAATCCGTTTCAGGATCTGCATGTCATCAGTAAAAGGAACTTCAAAGATCGACCTCGATCGACCCAGTTCATCCGGATCGACCTGGCGAGTCGAAGATCGAACCCTTCACACCCCAACAATAAGCAACTGCTGGGACGAAAAGCGCTATTGCCTATTGCTATGTTTTTAGCTATCGGGTCCAGTCAGTTTCCGGGTTCCACTGGTTTATAGGTCTTCAGAAGCGCCGCTGGAAGCGCCGGTCCGGGACGGATGCCGGGAAGTTTGGAGCGTTCCCACTGGAGGGAACGACAGCGGCCGAGGCAGTGGCCAGGAGCTTTGGAGCTTCTGAAGGGGATGAGCTCCGCTGAGCTCAGGCAGGGGACGTGGAGAAAAGGACCAAAAAGGACTTCCAAGAGCAAATACTGCATTTCGTGTGTGTGTGTGTGTGCGTGTTATAATGCAGATTTTATGAATGATTATTGATTACTTGATTACTATCTGTTTTGGAGGGTTGAAGCTCACAGCGCCGTTTCCCCACGCGTTGGAGAATGTGGGGCGATACTTTCCCTGCACCAGGGGATGAAGGCCGTACGCGGGTCTCGTACACGGTTGGCCCAACGCGTCCACTGCCATCCTTGACGCCCTTCAGGATGAGCTTTGCAGCCTTCTCACAACAGATGGGCAGGCTGCTTTGGGAAAGGCTGCCAAGTTCAGGGACTCCCAATGGGTACATGCGAAGTCCAAGTTCCGATGGAGCTTTGTGAGGGAGGTGACTGCGGTGGGGAGCCAAGCCTTCAATCTAAGGCTTGGCGTGACACCATGGCCATTCTCGAAGATGTGGCGGCACCAGAAGCCACTGTGCTCAGAGGGCAGTCAGCGATCTCCCTGACCACTGGCGTGCCACACCATCGCTGAACAGCCTGACAGCAGCTGTCATGATTGCATTGAGGGTATTTTTACTCAGGAATCCGCTGCAAGCCTGATGAATTCAGCCTCCAGAAGGGTTGATTTTTTCTCGGCTGCCCTATTATATAGGTGAGATCACAGTGGAGCTGAAGTCCACCATCACTCAGCTGAGCCCCAAGTTCCCAGCTCAGATGCCATCATTGAGCACGCAGCCTTCACTAGCACGATTCGCAGCAGGCCCAGAGTGGCCAGGCCTTGTGAGGCTCTAGGAGCTCGGCAGGATAGCTGAAGCCTGCCTTGTTTGAGGTGCTGTAATGATCCTGCCCCAACCCTTGGCAACCCTGCAAAACAGCGGTGTTCTTTCTCCATTGGCCGATGCTTCGTGTCCTTGGGCGGTCGCCCCATGTGCCAGTCAACCTTCTGTAGGGATCTTTGACTCCTGAAATCTTGGAATGCGGACATTACCATGGTTTTTGGGCCGTCTGAGTTTGCGGTGTGGGTTTTTGTGATATTTTTGGCTGGACAGGAGTGCGCCGGAGTGTGCAGTATCAGGCCATATGCTTGGCAGTCTTGGCAGTTGGTGGATTCTAGCCCCTTCAGATCGCTTTTTGAGTGCCACATCGTGCGGTTACCTTTTTCACGGAGGGACATCGACGCGCTTCCAACCTCATCATTCCGAATCTGCCTGGAAGCGATCGCGCCGTTTAGGCTGGATGTGAAGAGCAGCAACAGCATTGCTGCTTCGGGTGGCCCAGAAGAAGGGCATGCGCACAGGGAGGGCGGGGATGAAGGATGTGTGTGGAAAGAGAACTGTTCAGCATACAAACCTGGAAAGATTAACATGGACTCCAAGACCAATCAATATGTATCAAAGTTCCTAACACCAGTATAACGATGATAGCTATCAAACTTTTGCAGCCAGATGTGGGGCACTGGAATTTGATTTGGGGTGGGCATTTAGGGCTCTCAACATTCTATAAACTTCTAAGTAGTTTTGGGGGAACCATCCAAAGCATCCACCTGCCCTCCCCTCCACAGCAGCTGCCGCCGGCAGCGGCCGGCCAGCAGCTGCCAGCCAGTACTGGGTCCTGCAGCCCGGTTGCACAACAAACGGAGTTGGTCAGGTGGCAGGAAAAACAACAGAATTGGTCAGATGGCAGGGAGTGGTGGGTTATAGAGTTTAAGGTTAGTTAACTGAGCCTGCCTATTGTTCTTGAGCCTTATTAGGCTAGAGCATCAAATGCTCTTCTTTTGTCATACGCACGGACCTTTTCATCAGACATCTTCCGCACCTTTTCACTTACTGTGTTATTGTAAGATCGAGCCATTTGACTTGGTTTTGGATTCCGGCTTGAGACATGCTCGTGGTTTTTGAAATTGCCCAGCGTAGTCTCGGTCTACAGGCAGTGAAACGGTTAGCCCGGTGACACATTAGATGGGAACTGGAGCCCATGAATTATGTTGATGTCGAACGGTGCATCAGTGCAACCTGTAGGCATGTAATTATGCCATGCAGGTGGACATGCAACCTGTAGGCATGTAATTATTCCACTCAGGTGGGTGTGCAACCTAGGCTAGCAGTAGGCATGCAATCATGCCACTCAGCTGGTGGGATGAAATGAGCACAAAGTCAGCAGTGCTTCATTAACGCAGCACTACACAGGAGAAAGGCACACAACCAGACCACAACAGCGCCTTCTCATACCCCTTCAATAGGGGGAGAGGCCAGCAACAACCAAACAGAGCAACAAAGACGTTCCAAGAGAGCAAGTTTACATCACATCCAAGCAATAGAGCTGTCAGTGAGTGGCACCAAATCCAGAAGTGTCCAAGAAACTCATTGTTTGTTCTTTTCGACCGCTCGGAGGTACGCCTGCATCACCACCTGGTTCCAGCGCCAGCTGCTCGATCCACACGCGCAAGCCTTCGCGCCACTTCTGTGCAATTTGACGCCTTAAACGCTTCGATGGGTCGATCATATGCAGAGAGGCCGTCTTTGACATCTTTCAATAGACGCGATCACAAGCTGCCTGACAGCGTTGCCCGGTTGCTCGTTCTTCAGAGTGCCTCTCCACAGCCCCCGCGGGGCACAAAGTCAAAGTAGCAGGAGCACATCTCTGCGCTGTAGGCCTCCACAGTGTCGCGCGTTTGTTGCGATAGCCATTCTCCACTGGCTCTGTAAGAGATGTCAAGTTCGCCACCAGCCAGTGAGCTTCGTTTTGGCCCTATAGCATATAGACTGTTAGCGCACAGTTCATCCACGCGGTTGCTCAAGCGAGTTCCCAAGCGCTTTTGCAGAGTCAGAGGCTCTTGCCATCTCTTGCCTTCAAGTTTGGCAATCTTCAGTCGCCTCTAGTTGGATGGCTCACTGGCAGATTCCACATTCATCCAGAGATCTTCGCGAGAAACTCTTCAGCGACAGACTGTACCTATTAAACTACACCATACTAGACCCAGGGATCTCTAGCTTCCTGCCAGGCCTTGACCATGGTGGGTGGGTCATACGGTTTTGGCCAATTGTTTAATTACTTGAGTATTGTGGACACCACCTCACACCGCCCCCACCCCACCCAGCCCCAGCCACAGAGCTGGTCCTTTCTCCGGCTTCAAAGCCTTGGATTGAGTGCAGGTGCGGGATGCTCAACACCATTATGTGGACTTCATACAGGTCTTGTCTTTACCTTTCCCAGATAGGTTGATTGTTACGCTGTGCACAAAATACCAACCTATATGGAGTTGTGGCCTTTCCAGAAGGCATGGAATCACCTTAAAAGGGGTCAAAGGTTATTTGCATTGGGTTTGACATTAAGTATGCCTGTATACCTATTGAGTTCTCTTAGTTTTACATCAACACCATTTGCCACTCTAATATGACAACATGTTTGTCTCACGTGATCGTTGAAAGACAACATGGATCCATAATGATCCTGAGGGATTTGAGGTTTGTAGCATGAGATTTTTGTGCATCACGATGTGACCATCATGGTTTCAAAACTAACAAAAGTAATCATTTCACGAACTACCAGATCTGTATTTGACATGTTCTCCTGTTTCCTGATTTGGGTGATCACTTGGATAATGAACCCCATAAGGTCAAAAAGAACATTAAGAGTTGGGTTCCCACTCACCCAGTTGACGATGAGGTTTTGTTGGCTTTGGTCATCCATTGGGGCTGGTGGTAGGCACCCCGGCACCCCCATTCCCTCAGGAACCCGGAGGAAGTGGCCCTTCGCAAAGAACTGCAATAAGGACGGGCCTGGGCGCTGCACTGGGTCATCACTCATCACCAATTCCTAGGAGGGTCCTTCTTACAAACCCAATGGCCCGCATGGGAGTGACCTTTTTGTTCTCCACATGAAGACCGCTCCCAGCCGCTTTCCCTGGCACCTTCTTCAAACACACGCGTACCATGTTTACTGTGACATAGTAGTAGGCTTGTCCTATGGCATGTGTTACACTGGGTGCCAAGAAAGGGCACCCTACACCCATCAATGCCTTCATCAACACCCGAAAACATAATGGTGGTCAATGGTAATAAGAAAGGGTAAGTCACATTCTTTGTTTGGGCCTTATTATTGCATTGATGTTTCTTGCTGATGAAAACTTTGGCACTGCAGTGTGAGCGGCACTGTATTTGGGATGTCCAAGAGATAGGAAACAAGAGTATTCATTCCCATACCAAGAGACACCCAAAGCTGCCTGTTCAATCCATAAGTTTCTCTCTATCTATATATGTATGTGAAATCATCACATATCCCTGCAAGTGGGGCCGCACACTGTTGGCCAAATAGTCTCCTTGCGCTCCAAAATTCATCCCTCATAGTAAGCCCACTGCCACCCTGAACGGAAATATCTATAAAGTTCAACAACTGCGTGAAAATAGCCACAACAATTTCACACATAACACATTGTACAACACATTATTTTCTTGTGAGGGATCACGGAGTGGTCGGTGTATCAATCAATACACTTTGGCCAGGGGAGAGCGCAAATGGTCTTGTAAAACAAACCACTGAGCGAACAGGCATTAGACCATTCATGGTCCACTTCACACACCAGCAGATGCCTGTGACAACAGACTTCCACTGCTGGGACGTGCAAGCCTTAGCAATCATTGACTGGCTTTTCACTCCTTCATTCAGCTCCTCAAGCACCGGTGAAAAGATCACCTTATTCTCCTCCAGGGGACTGAAGGTGGAGTCTACTGTCAAAACCTTGTAGCAACAGTTTCCCAAAACAATGGAAACATATGGAAAACTTGTGGTTGTTGACACCTGCCATATTGAGGGTGAAAGGGATGCAGTCCTGTGTCAAGGTCCAGCCACTCAAAAGGTCATGTTTGCACGCATGGTAAGAGATCAATGCCTTGTCGGGGGTCACCTGTCTCTTGGCGTCCAAGACATTTGCAAAGGTGGTGCTTTGGTTGTCCAAGATGCACGTCTCATTTGGGTCGTGTACCACGAATTCCATCTCTTTGTTGGATGGACCATTCTCTTCCGGATATGTTTCACCTTCCTTTTTCCAAGCACGGAAACGACCCTTTCCAAATCCAACCAATGTAGTCCCGAGTCCAATATTGACCTTCCAGGGTGCAAAACACAGAAATTGTATAACAATGGTATTACTGTACCTCGCCTCAAACCGATGGCTTTATATCCAACACCCCCAACATACCAACCCCAAAGCCTGCTCAGAGCCACAGTTCTTGACATACACGCCATCAACATGGAAGAAAATCTTGCAGTCCTTCAAGTTCACAAGGTTGATTTCATGCAAGAGGGTACCCTTTGGCAAACGACCCTCTTGGTCGCTGGAAACAAGCACTGCCTTAACCTGTTCCCCATCCACCTTTGGCTTCTTTGTTGGTGGAGTTGCCATGCTTGTTGCTGTTCCAGTGCGCTTGTTCGGGGTGGTCTGCTTCTGGAGGTCCTCAACCTTGGGGTGTTTTTCATTGAAGGTTTCAACAATGGCTTTGAACTCCGTGCCCAATTGGTTATGATCCCACCATTTCTTCACCAAGTCATCGGGAATGGCAATCGTGGCAGGCTCATTGTCCACCTGGCAAGCAGGCAAACAAACTAAGGTTTGGCTGTAAAGAAGGTAAAGCGAAGTATATACTTATTCCCCACACCCAAAACATGCCCAAATCAGACCAACCCACAAAAATGAGAACACAACGGCTGGATAAAGACCCACACCTTGTGGATAATCAGGCGCTTCATAATTGGGGGGGATGGCTTCTCTTCCATGTGAGACTGTGGAGGTTTCACATCTGGGATGACAAAGCCGGGCACTTCAAAAGAATTCTCCAAGATATCTGCAGTAAGGTTGTCCATGAGATGTTCCAAGAACCAATCATAATGCTTCGGGTCAAGCACTGCAAAGTAGCGCAATGGTACATTCAGATTCTTGAGCTTTTTGAACCCTTTGAAGAAGCATCCAGTCAAGGGCACCAAGTCGATGATTCCAACGCACGACTGCGAATCAAACTGGACACCATCCTTGGGTTCTAGCATGAACTAAGGGGAATAAATAGGAGGGTCTACTAACTGAGCCTCAAACAAAACCAGAGAAACATGTCCAAAACTTAGAACCCATAATGGAGTTGTGGTTCCATGGCCGCAGACAGAAGGGCCGATGCTGCATTCCCTCCCACTTGTGCATACTTTGCAGCACCCTTGGTATGACCATCAGCATCCACAGTGGCTGGAAGGAGCTACTCTGCCCCAGGGATGGACAATGCCTCCATAGTTACCATCTCCTGGGAACCACAAGTATCAGCGAACCATGGTAACGGTACTGGTGGGGAAGTTAATCTCACTAACACAGCCCCCCCCCAAAATATCCCAGTCCTTGCTGGACAGCTGCTTCACCTCATCCAAATTCCTGCGGTTCTTGAAAAGAGATCCAGACCTCCATATCCAGCCCTTGGTGCTTTTGAGCGTTGAAGCTGGCTGTAGGAACCGACCCGGGTAGGACATAGGGCGCTGATCTCTGCCATCCTGGTTTGCTGGATGGTTCCAAGGGCAAGGGATTCAAGGTGCCAAAAGTAACAAAAAGCAAACGCCCAAACATGATGTTCCTGAAAAAACCAGGTGTCTGTCTTGGATTTGGGGTCTATGCAAAGCTGAACCTGCACATCAACCCCAATGGATGCGTTGTTGAGCTGCTTCAGGATAGTGTGCTCCTGCATGAACAGGTTCCCCGTGGAATATGTGTGGATTGGTGTGAGGAGGATCCCTGCTGGCCCACCACCAGCAGTCTCTACCATGGAATGCCCCACAACCATGGCATTGACCTTTTGCAGGTTGTCCGGGCAAAGGCTTGGGGCAGCGTAGTTCAGGACAAAGAGTTTCACCTAACCAGGGGTGCCGGCTTTAACAGTCCTTTTTACACAAACCATTGAAACCAACAAAAATTTCAGAGCATATAGGTGCTTATTTTTAACACCCCACACCATGGACTTGCAGTTCAACTTCTTCAGCCACTGCTCGGATTCCTTCTTGATTTCATCGCAGGTCTCCAATGCAGTCCCAGGCCCAAATTTCTCAGGATAGGCTAGGAGAGTGACCCTGGTGTCCAAAAAGGATTGAGCTGCTTGTTTGACTACACCATAGCGCTTGTGCAGCCATTCATCCTTCAGGTGCAGCATCCTCAGGTCAAACTCTGAAACCTTCCGCTGGTAAACATCCCAAGCCCGTTCATCAAAGTTGATCTCCTGCTTCAGGAGCTCAAACTCATGGCCCTCAACTCTGATCCTCTCCGCATCCAGAGAGGATTGAAGCTGAAATGTAGATGGCGCTGCCCCGGCGTCTGGTGAGGATTTGGACTGGCCATCCAAAATTGTTGCAATGCCTTCACACAGCAAAAATATAAATTCAAGACTTTAATGTTAAGTTTGAGTAAACTTCAAAAAATGGCACATAAAGTCATCAAAATTGATGAAAATTGAAACAGAGACTTTAGCAAATCTTTGGGGCTGGCATTGTCGCGGGGCATATACTTGAGATCCTTGTCCCCCAAAGCTGCTAGAAGATGCATCTCCATGTCAGGCTCAGCACCCCCTTGGAGCTTGCCCAGAAACCTGGCAGTTGGTTTGACCCATAAAAAAGTAAATTGGTAATTTTGTTAAGTCCGGCAAAAAGTAACCAACAAACAATATTAAAAACAAGGACAAGAAGCTCGGTCTTCATCAAGTCTTCCGAGTTGGGAACTTGCTCGCAAACTTCACGCGCCAATGCACCTTGAATGTACCCATTTGGAATAAGAACGCTAATATGTTGAAGGCTTTCATAAAACTATTTATGAAGATTGAGGCTGCGAGGAAAAACATGTAACTATCATTCAATTGAGGCACAAGCAAGGGCACACATCTCCGATTTCTCTTCTAGCTGGGCTTTGGTGAGCTTCCGCCGTCTTCCAGTATCCAGTGAAGCATGCTGCGAGTGAACCAGAGTGAGCATACAAGATAAAGACTCAGCCGTGACAATCCCCCGCTGCACCCATGGTGATGATTTGGGCGCACCTCGGGTTCGGAAAGCATATCCTGGCACAATCTTCCGACTGCTCAAATTGTCATCTGACCACGGGCCACCTCAATCTGGGCTGCAATCATGGAGTGACAAGTGACCAGGGGCACACACTTGTTGTTGGGCATTCAGTCTGGAGGGTTTATGGACACATATGTTTATTGAAACAGAAGTCTAAAGGCCATGTGTTTGCTAACTGACCCCAAAAAAAGATGATTGAGAAACAATATTTAGAAGTGTTTGGTTAGGCAGCCACACCTTCCCACCCAAACTCCGAGACAGAGTTCATGATGATGGTCCTGCAATCCTCAGGCATCTCTAGAACATGTCCCACTGCATGCCGCTTCACCCCAATGATCCGGTCATCACGGGCTGCTTCATCATTCCTAAGAGTTCCACAAAGTCAACAGGAAGATCTTTTTGACAACAAAGTCTGAGTAGTTACCAGCGTGCTGCACCCCTGACATTGGGGAAAGCAGTTGGCTCTGACAGAAAATTTTTGAAGAACTGTCGAAGTCAAGACGCCAGGTTTTGATCACAAGGTCATGCTGCAATCCAGCTGCCCGCATAGCACCCAAGGAAAACACCCATGATATCGCATTAGGCGCACGCCGGATGGCACCTTGAACTGATGTCTTCATATTCCAGAACCTTGGTGGCCGCTTCAACCCCAGGAGCGGTGTTAAGACATTTTTTGGGTTCATACTTAAACCCCATTGGGCTCATTCACACACCAAAAAGGGAAAAGTAGTTCCCACAAAGGTCTAGGGGCAGTTCTTGTTTCTTGTCATTGAGGCGGATGTGTTTGCAACGGATGCGCTCGAGACTTGCCAGGAAGGTAGAAGGCACCTCAACACCACATCCAGTAAACATTCCCTGCCTGGTGGATTCATGCCCCTTCAAAAGGTATGGGGGCAGAGATACCTCTGAGTTCAAATAGATTGAACAGGACAACATAAACCTCTAGCCAAAAAACAGTGATGCTGTTCCGGTAGCAGTAGATCAAGACTGCAATGGCGGTGTGAATCCGCCCTGCGCCCTTCAGGAAGAGGATGCTTCCCGGCTGGATGGGCTGCGCATCAAGAGGCAAGCCTTGGGCCTGAGGATGGACAGGTCTATGATGATTAAGAAACATTCCACAATCAACAGTAATTAGTAGAGTCATGAAAGGCACCGGTAACATGGACCCTTTGAAACCATGTCCTCCAATCGAATCCAAACAGGGCCAGTGCTTCCAGAGGATACGAAGCCATCAATGCAGTACTGCTGCAAAAGCTTCCGGCTTGTCTCTAGAGCAGTGGGTTCACGAAGGCTAGCTGCATTTTCTGTGGAAAACATCCATAGTGGTAAGGTGAACGCTTCCACATCTTCTTCTTGCCCTGGGTTGCAGAGGGGGAGACATGCTTATTCCAAGTTCATGTTCAATGGTTCTGACCATTATGAAAGCACTAGACCTTAGATAGCAAAGTGCTTGGAAACCCTGGACAGGCTGAAGCTGGTCTACCATGAAGCCAGGTAACCTCGAAGAGCTGTTGGCACAGGGTAGTGAGTCAGGTATGCTGTTGCCGGGTCCATAGGAACCATCTTCCGCAAGATGTCCACCAAATCCGTTTGCCGGCTCTGGGCGGAAGGGAAGACCTTGTGGATGTACTGTCTAGCACCACCATGACCTGGGCCATGTGTTCAAACAAACCAATAGCATGTAATCTTGAACCATAATAGGACCTGGAAAACAAACCTTCTATTTGCATTCAGTGTTCTTTTGATTTCATCAAAGACATCATCAAAGACCTTCTCCATTGGGGTTGCCTCCACTATGGAAAAAGGAGCTGTGACACTGGTATGCCCAGCACTTGATGCAACTTCCTCAACTTCCATGCTACCAACCTTCTCAACCTTCTGACTTGGCTCGTACAGAAGGGTAGATTCATCCCCTGCCACGCTCATCAGGGCATCCTCCAGCCCGCGTGGTTCGACCAGTCCCGGAATCTCCTGGCTGCATGGGTTCAGGAGGTCGATCCAGTGAAGTTGGTGGGGGAACACTGAAACATGTCAATCCAAACTTTCGATTGTTGATGAGCCTCGGCAGTGAGGGGCTCAGACTCAGCGTCAGAGTCCATCCCCACAACTGTCACCAAGTTTGAGCAAAAAGTAGCTCCCGGGAAGCAATCACAGCTTTTCAGCAGAACTCACCTACACATTTTGTGTCATTGAGTTCCGCCGAAAAAAAAAGTTTTCATCCCAAGTCTTAGGAGCAAGGATGGTTTCAGCAGAACTCAATATCACAAAATGTGTAGTGGAGTTCTGCTGAACAGGTGCTGCCATTATGTACTTCTGCTGAAAAAAAAATTTTTCAGCAGAACTCAGCCTCACAGATTGTGTTGTTGACTTCTGCTGAAAAAAATATTAGTTCATCCTCGCAATCAATCATGGTACGTGACCTCCGACGAAAAAATATTTTTTCAGCCGATCTCATGACCCCAAATCGGTTCGCAACCCCAAATCTTCCATTGAATTCGATGAGCTTATGAGCTTCATGAAAGGTGGATTGGATCACAGGACTTCCCTCCTGGTCCCTCCTAAGGCTCTCCTTACTTATTGTCTCACCGCCCAAGGTTTCTCAAAAGTTCAGCCCGGCCTTCTGGGTTGGGTGTGGATCACTATGATGGCATGTAAAAAATCCTTGTGGCAATAACAGCGGGACACAGGCAATAAGGTTTGATCCTGGGTGGAAGGGGATCATGCCTGAAGCAGGTGTGAACCTGGTCTCCCGATACCACCAATTTCAGAAAAGTTGATGTGAGTCCAAAGCAACTAGGAGGGAGATCCTCAAATGGGATGCTTAATCCTGGACCCATCATGTCTTTTAACCGTGGACTCTATACAAACAATCCTGCAAAGCTTCGGATGGCCCTGACTTTGGTGGGAATGCCCTTGTTAGAATGCAAAGCTTATACAGAGAGGTTGGTTCCAAGCACACCCACCCAGAAGTTGAGTTAAATCACAGCTGACACAAACATAAAACCTGCTGAAATGAACCTTGGACATGGTCATAGGCCCATATTATATAAACTCCAACCAGATATTCAGCTTCACATCACTTTGGGAAGCGCCAGCCTCAAACCCTGGGATGGTTCACCGCCAAAGCTTGCCCAACACCCAGGATTGGGGTCACGACATTGGCCAGTTGGCAGCCTGTGCGCAAGGTGCCAAGGGGAAGCAAAAATCTGGGACAAGTGGCGTCGGGGTGAGATCACTAAACAAGACCAAGAGATTGTATAGTATAGGGTTTTGCAACCAGTCCAGTGTTGAACCTACTATTTAAATTACATCCCATATCACAGGTCGACCTTGAGTTAGTCTCAAGCTTTTGCTTTTCAATTTAGTGCTAGTTGGGCCGTGCAACTCATTGGTGGTATGAGCGCTGCCCGCCACCTGACTTGTTGTTTGTTACCCAAAGCTCTAAGATAATAACCAAGGACATCGCAGCGTGCCAGCAAAACATATTTCAGCCCACTGGCTAAGCTCCACAGGGAATCCAAGTCAAGTCAGACCCCAATGCTTCGCTGGGAATCCAAGACCCGGTGGCAGATGGTTCTCACCAATCCATCAGGGTATGTCTGGGCCCATGCTGATCTCTTGACACCATTCTCACTGCCCTGGATCAGCTCATGCTCGTGGGAGTGGTCACAGAACTTCCCATTGAGGGCATTGAAGAGCGGGCCCAAATTTGTCATGAACTTGGTTCTTTTCTGCATGGGCTTCCCCGACGGGGAAACCAAACCAAATTGGCACTGATCGAAGGTGGCCAGTTGGTTTCCTGGACGTTCTAGTAGCTTCTGAACCTTAGAAGGCAAGAACCCATGGGTAGAGAGACAACTTCTATGGGTGGAACCAACAAAAACACAACTGTCACAGGTCACCTGAACCCCCAAAAGAAAAATGTCAAAAGAGGCCTTTGAAACACTTCTGGGCCATATGACAGACATGAGAATTTGTCATGAAACAAGGGCCCAAAAGATTCTAGGTATTATTCCATTTAGTCATAGTCACTGACTCTCGCTTCCATGCTAGACTTTTCTCGGGGTGCTCGAAGCCATAGTAGGATCCAGTGTCATCTTGGAACGTTGCTAGCCACATAGTTAAGTCAATGTGCCCCAGGGCCTCCTCAAGGTCCATGTACTTCTTACGTGTCCCCTTCATGCGCTTCCAGTTGCTAGCTTGTAGCTGGCATACTTTCGTGCACGGCGGTGATAGACTCAAGTAGTATGGTCTATACAGGGCGACATCCTGAAGAAGTAAACGCACATAGTCTTTTTGGGAAAGGTCAACAAAATGCTTCAGGTCATAGCTTCGCAAACTTCTTCCCCCAATCTCTCTCATCATAGGTGATAGTCGGGGTAAGCTGTATATCTCCCATAGTGAACAGCGCTGTGGCTGGATTTGTGGTGGGTTTGCATGTAGCTCACGAAGGTCCTCATATGGCATGACAGCTACAGAGTCAAACCTCGCAGCAGCATCTGATAACCGCTCATCATTCCATGGAAACGCAGTGTCCTCCTCGTTCCCCTCAGTAGACACAGGCGCACTGGGTTCAACCTTATTCTTGGCAGCAGGTCGCTTCAACACCGGCTTAGCCTTAGCACCAGTCTTCGCAGCTGGTTTTTTGGCCACTGACACGTTGTTTGTATTCCTTGGCTTTGGTTCCTGAGGTGGCTGAAAAAGGCCTGGGTCTCCAGCATCACCTGGTGGTAGGAAGCAAGCCTCAGACCCCACATCATCAGGTGGAAGGATCAAAGAGCTTGAAGACTTCCGGGCCATCAGCTCAGTGGCTAGGCTCCTAGGAACCTGGCACCCCACTAGCACCAACCTAATGAACAGAAAATAAGCAGCAATCCCAAAGGCAGCATCAGCATTAAAAAATACTCCAAAACAGGATACTTTTTTGAGGATTCGGTAGGCTTCTTCAACTTCCTATTGGTTTGTCTTCTATTGCTTCCAGCAGTAGGCTACTAGTGGTAAGAATTCAGAAACATGTCCAGTGCAAACAAAGAGATGCCTTTAGCGCATGCAATTCTTTCCCCACACCCCAGTCTGCATACGGGAGCAATGCATGGCTCTCCATTTGATAGCTGTCACACCCAGGGTGGCACAGGACCAATTGGTTTGATTCTCCCAAACTGTCAAACCAACAGCATTGACAATCAATACTGTAACAACAGTTTTCATGAACAAGGCCAACCCTAGGATTCGTGCACAGCAAACCCCAGGCATCCGAAAGAGCGCCTCATTGAGATCTGTCTCTCAATGAACAAAAGGCTGGAGGTCCACCTCCTAAAATATACTGCAACATTTAAGCTGCACGACGGGAAGGCTTTCTTCCACGTCCCCGCCCTCGCCCCTTTGCCTTTGGAAGTGCTGCCCTGGATTTGGCCTTAGCTTTGGCCTTAGCTTTGGCCTTTGCTTTAGGAATTGCCCTCGGGCCTCTCGGTCGGAAATTTGGATTCAAACAGGTCTTGCAACCCTTGGCTGCAAACCTGCAACGAGAACAACCTGCCCCTGTTGGTGCATCTGTACCTCCACCATTCGGGGGAAGCAGCACTGGCTTGGTTTCATGTTCTTCTGACGGCAATACCACCGGGACCTGCTCAGAAGGCCCATCAAAAAGCACACCAGCTGACAAGTTCTCTGGGTCCACTGGACCGGAAGCATTTACCTTACGCTTCTCGCGCGGGGCCACAGGCACAACTTCCTCTGAATCCAAAGGCTCATCCTCATTTGAAACAACCACAGGCTTGGGGTTTTTGGGAGGCCTCCCTCGCCCACGACCCCTTCCTCGGCCTTTCCCTGAAGGCCCTGACCCCTTGCCCCGGGCAGGTGCCGACGGAAGTGGCGTGACCCGCACTTCACGAACAGGGCCTGGCGCATATTTCTGCCACCTGGTTGCAAGGGAGGCGGTGGCATCAAATAGGATCAGCTTGGCAATCCAGCTCATGTCAACAATTTGGTAAAGGTAAAAGCCCATGGACGCTACACACACAAGTGTCATATATTATGTAGACCTATCCAGGTATATGACTATTAATGTGTATGTATATCATTGCAGTAGTGGTTTTGTTCAAACACATACAGGAAAGACACCATTCGATTAGATCAGACTTCCTACTGGGCTTACATAATTTGAGACTAGTGACCCAGCTGGGCTGGGTGCAAGCCCAATCGAGCGGGTCAATGCACTGAAGTTCCACTTAGGCAACGATGGTTCTGGCCAGTCTTGCTTTTCATTTGACTCCTGGGCAGGAAGTTGTGACATGAAATCAAAAATCATCCTGTTTTGTTTGATTGTTGGAAAAAACACCATTTCATAGCAATGATGCCCAAAACAAGTGGGTTGATCAGCCAAGTATCCACCCAGTCTCTCAATGCCGCAGCAGCCCTGGTAAGATTCCATGGCTCTGCTTCAACAGCAGCAGCTGTTTTCAGAAACCTAGGCTATTGGGTCCAAACTAAACGACACAAACATAAGAGCAGCAGGTAGTTGTCCTTGGGTCAGATTGTAATGTCATATGTGTTAGTGTACTATGGGAAACCGGAATGGCCAGGTGAGACCTAGCCATTTCAACTCATGGCAAACCACTGATCAGTAGGCCTTTAAATGGGACTTTCCTTTTCCAGTGGAAAGGGTGAAAGAAAGATACACCAAACCATTGGCAGGCAACTCCTTCCTGGCTCTATCAGCAAGAACTGTTCTGGGCATACCTGCCAAGGGTTGACAAAGACGGGGAAGGTAGTCATGTGGAAGAATGACCAGAGGCTGCTGTGATAGGCAATCGCTGCTAACAAGCTCCTTCACCAACATCACGCAATCCTTACCATTTGGCGCATAGTCCTCCAAGGCCAAACTGCCCCAAGGCCAAAATGGCCCAAGTGTTTTTTTTGCCAATGCATGGCGCATTGGACATACTAGTCCTTACCACCTACTTGTCTTTTTGGGTGCCCTCACTCCTCTCCAATCTCTGTAGGTCGCCATGGCTCGCCATTCTCACGGTCCAGCGAAGGCAGATCCTGGGGGGCCCCGATGGGATTAATTGGTGGCTTTGTGGGAAGCACCTAACCTTGAATTGGTGGCTTTGCAGGAGGTACCTCACCCTCAAAGGAAAGAACAGTTTTTCCAAACACTGGAAAGTAAGGCTCCTCTCGAGCAATGAAGCGCCATGAATGGTTCACATCAGGCTCACCCCCCTTGGCATTTGGGACCAAGCCAGAAATTGATATATCCAGCTGCTCAAAGAATGCCTTGTAGTTCAGGGTGCCCTTCAAAATGCAGCATCGCATCTCACGGCCTTTGGATGGCATGACCTTTGTCTCCAAGATGCTGAGGAAATCCTGCAACAGTTTGGTTGGAAGGTGCAGCAATAGAAACAGGGTCATGAATCATGGTTCTATTCTATTCAATTAAAATTCTGTTCTGTTGTCAGCTAACCCGATTGATCACAACCTATGATTGGACCATCATACTCCTCCGGTGTTTGAATGGTGGTCTCATTCTGGAACGATGTCACTGCAATAGACAGCCGTTGGTCAACACCATTGTGAGTGTGGCCAACCTGTCCATAGAAGTGGCTGACACTCTTGAACCTTGGTTGTGTGCAAAAACCTGTCAAAAAATGCATGGTCGAGTTCAGAACTAGCACCAAAAGGGTAAAGCATATATGCAGGTGAGAAAAGAGATAAAATAATCCGCAAATAATTCTAGACACTTGGATCGAGCAATGGCAAAAGCTGACCACTTCGCTACCGTTTGGTTCTTCCCCTCACGGCACGTGTTGTCTGTCTGCAGGGTTGAGCCAAAGAAAACACTTGGTATTATATATGTTTTTTGGAATCCACACTGGTAAGGACATAAGGGCAAGAGCCCTCGCCCCTTCCCAAGCAAAGAGGAACATTGGAAACACCAAGTGGGAATTTGTCAGCGCAAAAGCTTTCTTGGTGGACATATCCTATTTGGTTTCCCACACCTCCAGAACAAGATGTTCTGGAAACACAATGCCCTTCTTGGAAAGGATGTCCGAGCACCAATCCAGAACCATATCCAGCACAGTCATCTCCATCGAAGCATCCTTTGGGATGTCATTGTCCAGGATGAGGAAGCCCTCGCATACCTTGGGCAAACAAGTTGATGGCTTTGTCCTTTTGCATGGGCCTGCAAGACCCTGTACTCCCTGCATGGACATGGAAGTGGGGAACACACCAAACCAGGCCAAAACGTCCCAAACCAGAGTTCAACTTTATACTAAGGTGCTCCATGGGCAATGAAGCCCACAATGTGAATATTGGGGCGCCAAAGTTGGCTCAGTGCTTTTGCTGAGCTCAGATTCCGAGGCCATCTCGTCTTGGCCTGATCTAGCCCATCGATGTCTATCTTCAATACAGATTGTGTTGGCGCAGACTCTGTCGTTGTGGTCGACTCAATGGAAAGCATCTGAAGTCGATCCTGCAAGCACCGGAAAGCCTTGACGCCATCGATGTGAATCTTTTGGGCCATCTCAACATTGGGGCGCTCAGCATCCGAACAACTACCAATTCTGGCTGAGAATTTCGCACATTGATCACACCTAGTTGGTCCAGCTTGGAACCCCAAAAAGGTGTATATAGTAGTTTTTCCTTCTGCTACCACAAACCCATGGTTTTGGTATTGAAAAGTATTGAGCCAAAGGTGGTTCGTTCTTGTTAGGCAAGGCACCTGCTGTGTTGACTAATCTTCCGCATGACCAAAAGTTGCCTCCATCCATTGTCATAGACATTCCGGAAAGTCCTGTTGGAAGCCCGTTGCTCTGGAGGCACCCCAGCACCCTCTGCCCAAAGGAGGTACTCGGCATGAAAAGCTTCCATGGTCATATGGTTGATGTGGCGTGGCTGAAGATCACCTGCTGTGAGATTTGGTACCCTTAAGCCCAAAAAAGTCTCCAATAAACAACATAAAATGACAAAGCGTGAAAAGGTTTCCAATAGTCTAATCTGGCTTGGTCACCTTTGGCACCAAGACCAGAGGCCCCACCCAAAGCACATGCAGCAACGGGGTTGCTTGCGCAGGCGTTGTCATGAAGATCCACCTTTTGCCCAAGAAGGCCAGCAGGCAACTCGGCCGATGGGTCGCCTTCAAGGTGACAGTTGGGGAACCAGTTGGGCCTGTAAGTATACAACCGGTGTTCAACCTTCAAACATTTACAACCCAACCCTGGCTTACATTGAACATCTTGGGACAACTAAGCTTGCCTGGCAGAACTACACCTGACAAATGCAAGTTCCCAACCAACTTCTCCACCGCTTCAGTTTCAGCCAGGTGCTCTGCCTGGGCTGTTGAAAGGTCTCTATATAAAAAGATATACTATGTCCCCTTTGTCAAACCCCTATAGCCCCTGACCCCAAAACAAATGATTTGGGTAGAAACATGGATTGTCAGGGTGCGATGTGGTAAAAGTAGTAAGTGAAGAAGGCATCTGCGCTGTCATGCTTGGGTGTCTGTTGAAGGCCTCCATTGTAGGCGCGCTTGTCAATAGGCACCTGGTTTTTCTCCACACCACCTTGCAATCGGTAGACCTGACCATGTCCAAAATCATCAACATATTACCCAAGGCTTAGCAAACACTTTGGTTTTGTGATGGTTTGTGTCTTAGTTGACAAAAACCCCAAAGAAAGAAACAGGTATTGCATTTCAGCAAATGACCCTCTTCCGGTTCACCAAGAGGAGGCTGCAAAACCCATTGAGACACACATCGAAGCCACACACCTGGTACGAGTACTTGCCATCCACCTGAGGGACAAAATACATGGACATAATAAGCAGGGTTTGGTTTTGAGTTCATGGAGTCATGTTTCAACAGCAGCTGGAAGTGGCACAACAAGTGCAAGTTCTCTGAATTGATTCACCCGGCGCATTCAAGTTTTACCCTGCACCTGCAACAGCTTGTTCAAGAGCCCCAGCACATAGGAGTTCAGCTCATCCTCCGACCACTCCTTCATGCGGGCATGGAGGTCCTTGGTTGTTTGCAGCAAACGCTGGGCCAATAAAACCATTACATCCTACATCCGGCATAGGAGCTGTTTACAGCAAATCCTTTTATCCTACACCACACCCCCAGAGTTGAACATAAAAAAACAAATTACAGTAAATGGCCAAAGAGGTTCTTCTAAGAAAGCCTTCCGGGAAGGAGCCTCCTCAAAGCACTGGATGCACATCTTGGCACAACATCTCCACTTTGAATTAGAGGCCTGCTTCTCACCACTAATCCTGAGTGAGGGGCTGGCCAATGATGAGTTCACGATAAGTTGCAACCCAAGAAACATTGGGTGGGTCCACTAAGAAAACCAGAGCAAAAAAGATCCTAATCTCCCATGTGTCAACCTTGGAGCATTGCGCTGGCGACAGGGTGTCGCTTGAGCTGTTCCATGCATCATGTTCGGCATGGACGGGGTCAATTCAATGACCGGGCCATCATCATCCGGAGGAAGATCCATAGCTTCCGAGGGCACTAGAAAATGCAGAGTCTACTTTCCAAACATGTGGGCATTAATCTTGAGAGGGGTTCTTAAGTCTCCTATATATAAATATCTTCTCCACATTATCCACCACTTCTGTTTCAGCCAAATGCTTTGGTCATTGAAATGTCACTCAAAGCCCGACACCAAAACAATAGGTGTGTTTAAAGGATTTTAATTGTTTTTTGGATACACATGTCTGGGTGGGATAGTGAAGCCATATGGAATATAATAGGTGAAGAGTGCATCCACACTCCCTTTGACTCCAAAACATATCTTCTTATAAACATGGGTTGTACCATTTCAGGGTGGGATGCAAAAGATGTGAAAAGTATCGGTGGGAAAAACATCCACAACAACCCCATGTCCCCTTCCGCCTGCCAGTGAGGCAGCGGAGCACCGCAGCAGCGGCAGCGGCCAGCAGCGCTGCCCACCCACCCCCCCCCACCCCACCCATCCCACTCTCATCTCACATCCCACTCTCATCCCATCTCCAACAACAAGGTGGGTGAATTGAGAAGTCCAGTAGATCAAACAATAACATCCTATTTATCTGTTTCTATTTTTTTAACATGGTGGTTGGACTCCACCAAGGCGTCCCAGAATTGATTTCCAAAGACCCATGATTGATCGCAAAAGTTTTATCATATATAATCATATAATATATATATATAACTATAACATTCATGTGGCTACAACAACTGTTCCGTCAATGTGATGTTGTTGGAGGTAGGGTGTATGGTTGTTTGACCCGCAGCTCAGGTCTGTCAGCGAACCGCCTGGGGTCCCAGTGATGGATTGTTGGTCAATTCATAGGTCACAGGTGCTTGTGGTGCTTCACGGTTGCTTGTTTCCAATCCGGCGATATCTGATTATTTACGGTAATTGTTTGGATTCTTAGATCATGATGAACTTCGGGTGTGGTCAGAATCATTGGAATCATAGTCAAAGTAATCTTAGTTTAGTTTGCAGGGAACTGTCCTTGTCTTCGAGACTCCTTGAACCTCTAAACCTAGACTCAGTTGGGAAGGTCACGTCCTTTCTTTTTCCTGTGGGTTAGTTCTGACCTTCCTGGTTGCAAGGGCCAGTTGTTGACCTTTTTGGGTGATCCGATGTTCCAAGAAAAGACACAAGACAACGACAGGACTGGGTTGGACAGAACGCAGGTTGGCAGTGGTCTGGGCATTTGCTGAGTTCAATGCCAGCGAGGCGCTGTGCTGCGGCGCTGGTGGTCTTTTCGTGCGGAGGTGGGAGGTGTTTGGAACCCGAAGTCGCAGTGAATGGAAAAGGCATGAAGACCCATGTTGCAGTGGATAACGGTATTATTTACAGTATAATCAGCAATAATAGTTATAGAACTATTATGAGATTCATGTGTAAGTTGTGTACCTTCAAAAGGTACATGCTTACAAAAGAACACATTGTCATCATGACTAACGCACAAATGTCAGAGTTTGCCGCTTCCTTGATCGAGCTCATCCTTGACCGTGAGTCGCCATTTCGGGCACTTCTGAACGATGAACTCACTGGCTAGTCCCCTAGTCCCGACGGAGTCAGACTACAGACAGCTTGGAAGACGTGGATCGGATGGGTCGGTCCGGAGTCCATGGTCGTGCAGAAAAATGGTCAACAAGAACTTCATCATGGAGCCGCACTTCTCGGTGCCGTGTTTGCCGGCCGCTCCATGAAGTGTTGACCTGAAGGAAGACCCGCTGCCATGAGTTGACTCGTAGAAGGGGAACATCACCTGTCCGGCTGTTCCGTTTTGCGGGTTCAGATGGGTGTGAACCCCGAAGAGAGGTCCCGAACCCAGCAGTCGATTGATTTCTTATTGTCATCATATGTCCAACTTTGACATGGGTGTGGTCAACCACATCTCCACGTTTCAACCCCTGACTTCTTTAGGTTTCTCAATACGTGACTTTTCCAGGCCGAGGCAAACCTGTTGCCATGGGGGGAGTTGGCAGGGAACTACCATGGCAGGTAACATGGAGGGATGGAGCAGTTGCCATTGGCAAACTCCCCCCCATGGGAGCAGTTGACATGGCAGTTCCATGGAGCTGTTGCCAGGCCGAGGCGACTGTTTTGCTTTGTGATGTTGGGACTGAAGATGGCAGGCAATTGCCTTGGAGTTTGGTCTCTTACAGCACCTTCATCGAAGCCTCTCCTCACTGGAGCACCATGTGTCTCAGACGCAGCGAGTTGGCACAGCGAGTTGGTACGGTGCAAGAGCTTCCGTGTTGCTGTGACAGTTCGCTGGTGTCATCTAAGCATGATCAAGTTCAGAAGTTCAGATGAGCTGAGAGTGATATGGCAGGCGGCCATTTGATTTCCTCAAGTGTCACAGATGGTGAGAGTGACCCAGGACGTGACAGTTCGCTTGCTTGGACTCGTCGTTGCCCCCCTGAACTCGCCGAAGAACGCGAAAGGGACACTGAGGTGCTTGGCCCTGGAGCAGCTGCAAGATCAAGGCGAGGGACAGTGTGGTGTGGCTGGGAAAATGTCCAGGAAGCCAGGGGGATCAAGGGGGGCATGGGTTCGATGTGATTTTCTGTTTAACCAATGGGTTTGATGTGTTGCTTTTGTTACCCTGGCAAGCCTGTTGTTGTTCAGAAATATTGGCCAGGTTCACTGGACATAGAAGTTGTGTAGCCTATTGAAGAACCTCCATAGGGTTAGGGCGAATCAGGTCATCAGATGTAGCAGATGATCGAGCATGACAAGTGGTGTGACAAGTGTTGTCATCCTGTACGCCATGGGAGACTGTCGGCTTGTGCTAAAAGAAACGATATTTGTTTATCTATTTATTTCATGTTATTTCAATCATAGTCCACCAACAGTCTGTGCGCGAGAATTTAAGCCACAAAACCATGTCGAATCCACGACCTCATGGCAAAATGTCCCTTCAGAAGCTTCATGTCCTTTTTCCTCCATGAGCAGTATTCGTTGGGTTCGATTGAGTTCCATTGCTTTGGACGGATCAACGCCGAAGCCGAAGCCGCCGAGGCCTCCGCTTGGATGGCCAAGGCTTGGCGGGCGCCGCCCGCCTGGACCTCAACTGGTTCCGGGTCCCGGTGTCGCAAAGGTCCTTGGTGGCACTTGGGCCGCGGTTTTGCCAGCTGGGTAGCCTGGGTTTATCTGACCAATACCAGTGCCACCAAGAATGGATTTGGATCTGACAGAACAGGTTTGCAGCATTTTGCAGCTTACATGCTTCAGAATGCGTTTGTGCCATGGCCTTCCAGGGCATGCAGGTTCATTTCTCGTTCCCAACCTGCCCTCTACTCTACGACTATGCTGGAGTAGCTGGAGTCGATCAGCCAGGTCTTTTGAGCTCCACCCAGGTCCACCCAGGTCTTTTGAAAAGAAAACCATTGGGTCCGATGTCGCTCCACCCAGGTCTCTTGAGCTCCGCCTCGTGGCACCAGGTCGGGAAAAAAAAGAGGATGTACCACTCGGTGTGTGAGGAACGCGAGACCTTTTTCAGCAAACTGGATGAACCACCACACGTGTTGTCTTTTGGTTTACTCTGCTGTATATTGGGGGGATGTTGGACAGAGTTCCTGTCTCCTCTTGCTAGGGCGAAAACCAGTTTGGGCCAAGGAGTGTGAGGGCTGGGTTTGCAATGGGAAATCCAACGTTGAGGAATGCTGAGGGCGAGATACATGCTGCAGGCATCAACTAGGCCCAAGCATTGAATCGTGTTGGGTGTGTCCTGAGTTTGACGGCATCGATCTTGAACCTATTTCAATTGTGCGATCTGAGTATCTGACAAGTGTTTGACATATAGTAATATAGCGGAGCTTTGGCCCAAAACAACGACTTTGGCATGTTCGACGGCCCTTTCTACTCTTGCGTATTGTTCGGAGGGCCGAGTCTTTTTTTTTCTTTCGGACACACCCGAAATCGGGTGATTTCCTCTCAGAAACCGTCTCACAGACGTCTGGTTGGACGTCGAAACATTTGGGAGAGGCTCGAAGCAGCCACTCCCCAATGTTTACCAACTATGGCGATGAGCGCGTGAAACTGCTCAAGAAGGTTCAGACCAAGGACCAGATGGATAGAACTTCAGTCGGGCGAAGGGCGGATCGAGGCCGCGAGCCCTGGTGGATGCTGAAAAAAATCACCCTTAAACAGGGACAGATTCTCAACTAAATTTTGTAAGAATCTTGCATCAACGGCAGATGCCCGGTCCGTTCTTTACTGTAGCAGTTGCATGGGTTCTTGTGATGGTTCCAATTCTGCTACATGGGTGCTAGAGATTTCACACGTTCATCACCACAGACATCCTCACCTCCAAAAAGCTCCCCAGCCACCCAGCCCCAAAAAGGAAGAAAGCACCTCACCGTGGCCCAGTGGCCTAGTCCAGTCTCCAGTCCCTTTGGAACTTTGGTCCATCCTCTCTTGCGAGGATGACTTCAGCGCCAAGAAGTGGCGCTGCCTGACACATCCCACCCGAGCCATGGAGACCTTGTCACCCTATGCCGTCTTGGAGGCCGGACAAAGCCGGGTACGGAAGCCGAAGCGGCACGGGTAGCGAACGGCCTGGCCGCCGCGCTGAATTGAACCTACAGTTATCATATGGACCGACCAATTGTGGGGCAGCGCCGATACTGTAGGTGATGGGAAAGAGATTGGGATAATGTTTTTTCTTGGGGGGTTGGCGTGCTACGGGGAAAACGACGAAACTGACCTGTCGGGCAGTTTTGGAAGATAGATTTTGACTCGACACACACAGCGTTCTTGTGTTTGTTATTTGAAACCTTCAAGCAGATGGAGATCTATTGGTAAATCAAATCAATTCATAGTGCATGTTGTTCATTGTCCTGCCCTTGTTGGTTGATGACACTCTTTATGCAGACACCCGAGTGAAGATGCCCTCCAAGCACTTTGGGTTGTTGTTCGTTCAATCGAACTAACAAACACATATCATGATGAAAAATATTGAACAATGATGAACATGACTTTTGCCCAGTAAAACCAGCTATATACTTGGGATCCCCCAACTATGCTAACATCTTTGCCTTTTGGCAGGTGATAGATTCAGATGATGAAAACATACATGTTGCATAGTCGGAAGCTGAAAAGGAACATCCCCACCGTGTTGGACTTCCCCAGGGGTCGAGACGTCGAAGTCACTGGGCACTCGAATGGACGATGTTTCACCAAGCACCCACGGACCGATTTCCATGAAACTATCTGAGATAGTTAAACGGAACCATGTTTTTCCTTTTACCCAAAGTGGTCAACTGTCTCCCCATCGGCCCGCATCTATTGGACATACACCACGGTTCCGAAGCCAGCCAGGTGGGGATCTTGGCTGCCCGCGATCTCACGGAACGTGACCCGGGCTACTTCTCCACCGACACCGCACCGGATACTCGGAGTTGAGACACCGCAGCCGAGGGCCCGCAGCAGCTCTTCTGCCTTCGAGCGCCGCCTCCCCCCCTAAACCCAACGAGCACGTCAACGCCACGGTGAAGTTTTCAATCAATTGCCTTTGAGACCCAGATGAAACGCGCATTTTTGCTGATTCATGTCAGAGATTCAGAGTTGAGCTTCAATACTCTTCCCCTTAGCAATGTTGTCCAGATCTCAACAGGCTTTTCTGTTGCTCCAACAGACTTTACTCCTTACCATGGTCTAGCTCAATATCCTGTGTGAGAAAGAAAAGCCAGACAGCAACTTGACCAAAAAACAACAGCGGGCCTGCAGGAGGTTCAGTGGCACGCGGCAGGGGCAAACAGGTGAGACTTGTGGTGTTGTGGTGGTTGTTGGGGTTGTGGTTGTGGTTCTGGTTGTTGTTGTCGTTTTGTTCTTCTGGTAGTAGTAGTCGTCGTAGTAGTAGTTGTTGTTGTTGTTGTTGTAGTAGTTGTTGTTGTTGTTGTGCTGGTGGTGGTTTCTACCAGAAACAGACAATATCAGAACATGACAATAGTGCAAGGCAACATGAACCTTGGGGACATATGAAGCCATCTTCAACAAAGGGCCGCGCGCGGCCCCATAAACCATGTTTCCTCTTCTTGGATTGGGGGGCACGTGGGTCCCTAGCACACAATGGCCCCGGGCTTGAATCCAAAAGGGGCCATGGGGGGGTCGAACCCCACGCCAAATCCTCGGGAAAAATGCTCAGCAGTCAGCAACGACTCAAGATTTTACACATATATCATATCAAATTGTTTGGCAGGTTTTT